AGCTCAAGGCTAGCACTCTACCACTTTGAGCCACAGTGCCACTTCTGGTTTTCTGGTGGTTAATTAGAGATAAGAGTCTCGCAGACCTTCTTGCCTGGGCTAGCTTCGAGCCATGACCCTCAGATCACAGCCTCCTGAGTAGCTAGGCTTACAGGCGTGAGCCACCAGGGCATGGCTAGTTTGTAACTCTTTATTATGAAAATGTTAAAATATGAGCTGGGGGTTATAGATCAGAGGTAGAGTACTTGTCTGGCATGTATGCCTGAGGCCCTAAGTTCAGTCTTCAGCACTGAAGAAAGCAGAGTAACGGAGGGAGTTAAGGGGAAAAGGAGAGAGGAGAGTAAGGCATTCAAAAGGAAAGAAGAGAGGGAGGAAGAGAAGAAGGAAGAGAGGAAGCAGAAAGGAAAGGATGGAGGGACAGGGAGGAAAAGGAAGGAGGGAAGGATGGGCATAGGAAGGGAGGAAAGGAGAGGGAAGGTGGATAGAGTATTTACTGATCAAACTCAGCTTCAGCCTTATCAACCTTTTATCCATCTCATAGCTGTCCTTCCTCACCTTTTCCCTCTTTGCTTTCTGAGAATATTTTAAAGCACATCTTAGTTCCCTTATCATCTCAACAGTTAAATGTTTCTGTGCTAGCAGATAAAGATAAGGATATTTATAAACCCAGCCTCAACGCCATTATCATAGCTAATAAAATGAACAACAATCCTCAGTCCTTGTTCAAGCATTCCCAGCTGCCCGGCAGCCTCTTCAGATCCCTTTGTCTCACCGTGGAAAGAGCCCTGGGAGCCGGGCAGCCAGGCTCTGTGAGCTGGAGGGAGCTTTGGTTGTGTGGGAGCCTCACAAGCTTCTGTTTGGTTTGTTCCAGGAACAAGTGTGGCATCTGGGGATGGCGGTCTGAGAAGATGGAGACTGTTAGCGGCTACGAAGCCAAGGCAGGAGAGGCCACTGGAGAGGGCTGGGGGGGGGGGGACAGACAAGGTCCAGGAGCTTGCCACATTCCTTGCCCCCCCCCATTCTCCTGCCCCCATGTGGAGAGAGAGACAGAGTAGCTCTTAGAGCCGGGAAGTTCTGTGTGGCCAGAGACAGGCCTGCTGAGCCCTACCCAGGCTGTGAAGTCAGAGGAAGAGCATTTTCTTCCTGGCGTTCAGGATGTATCTCCTGGCTAGTGACTCCTGGGGCTCAGACCCTGCCATCTGCTCCCTCATCTGTCTCTGGGGACAGGAGGAGTTGGGTGCTGTGCTGCTGAAGCTGGGTGTGGGGGAAGTTTCTGAATGCCCAGCTTCCCCATGTCCCCCTCTGCTCCCCAGGTGTACAGTGCCACCAACGTGGAGCTGGTGACACGCACACGCACAGAACACCTCTCTGATCAGGACAAGTCGAGGACCAAAGGTAAACCCAGGTGCGCCTGCCTGCTGCCCAGTCACACACTGGTCTGGGGTCAGGGCCAGAGTATTGGGGACCAGCTGGGAGGCTGTCCCCCTACCCCCCTCAGCAGGAGGGCTTCCCGGTAGGGGGCAGGGGGCAGTCTGGGTGGTAGCCCAGTTTTCCCTCATGGGCTCCATCCTCTGATCCCTAGGAGGGAAGACTCCATTCCAGTCCTTCCTGGGGATGGCCCAGCAGCATTCCTCCTACAGTGGGGTGAGCAGGGCTGGGGGAAGGGCTGGGCTGACCCTGGGTGGGCAGGGTGCCATCCTGGTCAGCCTGAGGGCTAAGTCTGGTCCTGGGGCCCACCCAGGCTCCTGTGCAGCAAGCAGCCAGCCCCACCAACCCCACAGCCATTTCCCCCGAAGAATACTTCGACCCCAGCTTCAGCCTGGAGTCAAGAAACATTGGCCGCCCCATTGAGATGTCCAGCAAAGTACAGAGGTGAGGCCTGGGGAGCTGGCTGGGGACTTCCTTCAAGGGTGGGGACCCTGCCTGGACCCCCCCCCCCACTGATTCCTGTCACACCTGGATCCATCACAGTGTGGGCCTGCTCCTCTAGCCAGCCTCTTTCTGGAGCCACGGCTCTCACTTACCTGTGCTTCTGAGCACGTGTGTGTGGCTTGGCCCAGGAAACTGGTGACGCTTGGATGCAGGATTGAATGAATGCCGAGTAGCACAATCTGTGGGTTTTTGTGTTGTTTTTTAATTCAACTTAATGATCATGGACCAAGAGCCAGAGCATGGCAGAGTGGGAAGGGCCCACAGCCCTGCTATCACAGCTGTGTTCACGGTAAATGTCTTCCCCCATATGAGTTTGATTTCCTGCTTATGGACAAGAGACATCACACTTGCAGGGGAGGGGTCTGATGAGCAGATGTCAATGGTCACAGTGGACAGAGCCTAATGCCTCCAAGGCCACCTCACAGAGATCCTCTCATGCACCAGGGGAGGAGCTGGGATTCAAACTCCTGCAGTCCTGACCCTTGGCATCCACTGGACACATCAGTACCACAAAGTATGAGGTGCTGGCCAGCTCTGGTAGGGGAGGAAGACAGGGCTGTGGATAAAGCCCCGAAGCCCACAGCCTGGCCCCTGCCCTCCTCATCCAGACCAGATGCCTGGGCACAAAGCCGTGGACACTTATCTGCGCCCAGGGACTGAAGCAGTGTGTGCTTCAGGGCCAGGCTGCAGGGCTGTCTCTAGGGGAGATAACGGGCAGCTGAGCAGGGAGGAGGGTATCACAGGTAGGTGACAGGAGAGGATAGGCCTTGGAGGACAGACCACCAGAGGGTCCCTGATTCCAGGCCTTGGAGGAAAGACCACCAGAGGGTCCTTGATTCCATGCTCTGGCCATCTGGGCAGGTTCAAGGCAACACTGTGGCTGAGCGAGGAGCACCCGCTTTCTCTGGGTGACCAGGTGACACCTATCATTGACCTGATGGCCATCAGCAATGCTCACTTTGCTAAGCTGCGGGACTTCATCACCCTGCGCCTCCCGCCAGGCTTCCCTGTCAAGATTGGTGAGAGGGAGGCGGGCCTGGGTATGGGTCTTCCTCAAGGATGGGGGAATTGTGAGGAGCAGGCAGCTCAGTCCCAGCTGTCTCCTCCCAGAGATTCCCCTCTTCCACGTGCTCAATGCCCGCATCACCTTCAGCAACCTGTGCGGCTGTGATGAGCCTCTGAGCTCAGTGAGGGTGCTGGCCTCCAGCTCTGCAGCCTCCAGCTCTGCGGCCTCCAGCACTGCGGCAGCTGTTTCAGGTATGGATGCAGGTAACCGAGGAGGCCGTGCGGCTCTGTGGTGGCTGAGCCTCCGAGACTGAGCGTGCTCCCCTGCTGCCTATCCAGGGAGCCCTTTCCCATGTGAGGTGGACCCCACTGTGTTTGAAGTACCCGAGGGGTACAGTGTGCTGGGTGCAGAGCGCAGCGAACCCCTTCGGGATGAAGATGACGACCTGCTGCAGTTTGCCATCCAGCAGAGCCTGCTGGAGGCGGGCACAGAGGCAGAGCAGGTGGGACTTGGGCAGGGGGTGGACCTCGGCCGCCTCAGCCACAGGGCTGAGTTGACAGCTTGGGCTGGGGCTTTGCAGGTGACTGTGTGGGAAGCCCTGACCAACACGAGGCCTGGCACTCACCCTCCTCAAGCCACAGTATATGAGGAGCAGCTTCAGCTGGAGCGGTGAGACCCTGCAGCACCCGCCAGGTCCCCTGCCTTGGTTGGGCCAAACCTGATGGGTCCCGGGGAGGTCCTAGGACCCCAGTCCCTCATCAGAGCAGGGCTGATCACCACCAAAAACTGAGAGAGAGGGGAAAACAGTCCTTGAACCTCCCCTTCCCTCCCTTTCTCTGATCTCCTTGTCTCCCAGAGCCTTGTGCCTGCCCCTTTGCTCCTCCCTCTCCAGCCTTCTTGCTCACTGTTCTGTTCTCCCCCTCTTACCTTTGCTGGAAGAGCTCTCCAGGAAAGCCTGCAGCTGTCCACAGAGTCCAGGGGCCCAGGATCCCCTCAGAACATGCCCCCATCCCATGCCCCCCCAAGCTTTGAGGAGCAGCTTCGCCTGGCTCTGGAATTGTCTTCGAGGGAGCAGGAGGAGCGGGAGCGGCGGGGTCAGCAGGAGGAAGAGGACTTGCAGCGCATCCTGCAGCTGTCACTCACGGAGCACTGAGTCTGGGGCCACTCCCTCCACTTGCTTTTGTAATTTATTTATTTATAAACTGTCTGCTGCTGAGCCTGGAGTCCTGGGGGTGGGCTGGAACCGAGATGGAAATAAAGAGGCCGTCAGCAGAGGACTTGCTCTACTCACTGGGCTAGAGCTGAGGGACAGGTTGGCCTATGACTTCAGACCTAGCCCGGAATCCTAGCCAGGGCCCCCTCAGCCTCTCTTACCCTCCAGGCTGTAAAAGAGGAGCCGCTTGGGCTGTCCATGGACAGTTCCGGGGAGCCCGCTCCACCCACCTACCCGAGTCCTGTGGTCCTTCCCGCACCCAGCCTGGCCTCCTCCACCCCGTCCCCGCAGTGCAGGCCCAGGTTGCACCCTGATTCCTTCCCCAACTCCTGCGTGCTGATGTGGGCAGCGTGGTCTGTCGTGCTGATGTGGGCAGGTCCCTTCCCTCCGCACAGCTGGAAATCGGGCTTAGCCCTGCCCGCCGCCAAGGCGGCCCTGAGAATCCCCGGAACCCCATGCGTCCCAGATTCGTGCAGAGGAGACCCTGCCCACCCTCCAGGAGAAATGTTTGGGTCGCTGAGTCAGAGCCACCGCGCCTGACCTCAGACCGGTGTCCTCCACCGCGGCCACCCCAGGACCGACCTCCGCTAGGTGAAGCGCGGTGGACCCAGACTGCCCGGCTGATCTAATCGGGCGGAGCCGGGGTAGGCGGGAGGCCTCGGGCTGCCGGTGAGGGCGGCTCACCTGCGCCGGGCCCGGCCCCGCCCCTCACCTGCGCTGGCCCCGCCCCAGTGCGGGGGCGGGGCGGGGCGGCGGCACCGCACAGACGGGAGGGGCGGGGCGGCCGCTGGGCGAGGGCCCGCAGGCCCGGCGGGCCGGGCGTCTGGCCCTTTAAGGGCCGCCCCCGAGGAGGTGCCAGGCCCTGGCGGCTCCGGTCTCCTTCCTGGTCCTGCGGGCCGGGACCGTCCGCGGGGCTGCGGGAGGGGGCCCGCGCCTGCCGTTCGCCCAGCCGCTCCGCCCGGCCTGGCCCATGGCCCTGGTCACCGTGAGCCGCTCGCCCCCGGCCAGCGGCCACTCCACGCCCGTGGGGCTCGCGGTGAGTCCGGCTTTGCCCTGCCCGCGCAGTCGGCTGCCAGCTGGGCCTGAGCGCGCACGTCCTGCCCGGGCAGCCGCCCACTCGTGGGTGAGGTGGGTGGAGGGGTCCCGGGTCTTAGCCTCTGGGGCGCCCGCCCCCAGCCCGGGAGCCCCGATCGCCCCCCGCCGGCAGCCCGGGAGCCCCGATCGCCCCCCCGCCCCCAGCCCGGGAGCCCCGATCGCCCCCCGCCGACAGCCCGGGAGCCCAGATCGCCCCCCGCCGGCAGCCCGGGAGCCCCGATCGCCCCCCGCCGGCAGCCCGGGAGCCCCGATCGCCCCCCGCCGGCAGTGTCTGGACCTGGGCTCCCCAGTGCCTCCCAGTGGAGGAGGGACTGGCGTGGGAAGGGATCGATGCCAGCCCGGAGGGGGAGGGGCTCGCCTTCACTCCCCGCGGGCCGCTTTCTCCGCAGGGCGCCGCCGTCAGGGGCCGAGGCCGGCTGCAGCGCAGGTGAGCCGCTCTCCTGCCCCTGGGCCTGGCCCCCGCCACCCCTTACTCCAGATAGAGCCGAAGGCGTCTCGGCCAGACCTCACTAGTGCGTGCGTGGGGTCTTTCACCCACTCCCCTCCTCGCTCTCAGACCAGTAGTCGCCGGCCCACGAGCAGGATGGGACAAGGCCCGAGGATTTGCCGCTCCCCTGTTAGGTTTACAGCAGACCAGTGGGCAGAGGCTGGAGACCTTGACGCTGACTCTCCCAGTACCTGGGCCACACCCAGAGTCCTGTTAGAGACACCAGCTCCCCGCCGCATCCCACCTGTCTGACCCCTGAGAGGGGAATGAGCAAAACATCCACTTTCCATAGCCCTTGGGGACTCGGCTGCTCCCTACCATTTGAGGAGCCGTCGGGACCCTAATGATCTCCAACCATTCTGTCAGGCAGAGCTTTGCAGTGCTCCGTGGGGCTGTCCTGGGACTACAGGATGGAGGGGACAATGGTGACGGGGTTGAGGCTGGCTCTGAGCCAGTGGACGCCGCCCCTGGTGAGGAACCACCCCACAGTGACCAGACGGACGGGCAGGGGGCCCAGAGTCCCTGGAAACAGGTGCAAAGGCAGCACCTGCACCTCATGGTGGAGATGCTGAGGCCCCAGGATGACATCCGCCTGGTGAGGAGCCCCGCGGGCGGTGCTGTAGCTCCGATGTCTGCCAGGGAGCAAGGGTGTAGAGTGGGGACCCTCCCTGGGCTCTGGTGGCTCACGCCTGTCATCCTAGCTTCTCAGGAGGCTGAGACCTGAGGATCACGGTTCAAAGCCAGCCCAGGCAGGAAAGTTCTTGAGACTCCGATCTCCAGTTAACCACCAGAAAACCAGAAGTGGTACTGAAGAGCTCAGGGACAGTGCCCAGGCCCAGAGTTCAAGCCCCATGACTGACAAAAAATAAAAATAAAAACAAGTGGGAACTCTCCAGGCAGAGGAGGGGCCACCCAACCTGTAGCTCTCTGCAGCTCCTGCTGGTCACCTGCAATCAGCTGGGAAAGGGCAGAGGACATTGGTTCTGCATGAGTCATAGGGTCAAATTCAACCCACAAGGTGGAAGGCAGTATGCTAAAGGGGCCTAGGTGAAGAGCAGGCTACCCACACAGGGGGCCGAGGTCTGCTGGATCTCAAAGACCATCTCCCACCTGGCTCCAGTGGCTCACACCTATTATCCAAGCTACTTAGAAGGCTGAGATCTGAGAATCATGGTTCAAAGCCAGCCAGGGCAAGAAAGTCCGTGAAACTCTTATTTCCAATAAACCACCAGAAAACCGGAAGTGACACTGTGGCTCAAGTGGTAGAGTGCTAGCCCTAAGCTGAAGAGCTGAGGGGCAATGCCCAGGCCCAAAGTTCAAGCCCCACAACTGACCAAAAAAAGACCATCTCCCAAATTAGGTTGAGATAAGATACCCGTCCTCAGCAAAATGTGAAGTCTCTGGTAAAGCTGGAGCACAAGCCCCCTCTGTGCGATTCAGTCAGTCCACAGAGTTTTTGGTGTTAATCACTTCCTGATTGATATGGCAAGTGGTGTGATTTTTAAAAAACCTTGCAAGGCAGAAACAAAACCAGGCCACATCTTTCAGTCCCACTCCACCCTTTTACACAGTGAACATTATGAAACACTTTGTTGGACCCTGAAGTCCTGAAATTGAGAGCCCCTGGTCCTGTATCAGGAAGCTGGGGTGGGAATGGGGGGGGGACAGGGTCAGCGAGGCTGTTCTGAACCAGTGTGTGCCACGAGGGGTGGGGATCAGTGTCTTCCCACCCAAAGTGGTGACTCAGGGCTCCTTCCGTCTCTCATAGGCAGCCCAGCTGGAGGCAGCCCGACCCCCTCGGCTCCGCTACCTACTGGTGGTCTCCTCAGGAGAATGTCTAAGCCAGGAGGAGACGGTGCTCCTGGGGGTGGACTTCCCTGATAGCAGGTATGGTCAGGGACAGGAAGGGGGGGGGCAAGGAATGAGATGCTGGAGAATAGTGACTCTCCTGTCCCCTGCCAGCTCCCCCAGCTGCACCCTGGGCCTGGTCTTACCCCTCTGGAGTGACACTCAAGTGTACCTAGACGGAGACGGGTAAGAGATCGCCACGGGGGAGGGGCAGGGCAGAGGGGAACAAGCAGACTGGGCCTGGAACATGCGTCCTACTCTCAGCAATACTTCAGATTTACTGTGTGATCTTGGGCAAGTCACCTAACCTTCTCTGGGCTTCTGTCTCCTCACATCTGGCAAATGGGCAGGGTTTTTGTCTGAGAACCTGGAGTCTGGTTCTACTTCCCTGGGGTCTCGTACAGGGGCTTCAGTGTGACATCTGGTGGGCAGAGCCGAATCTTCAAGCCCATCTCCATCCAGACCATGTGGTAAGCGCCATGGTGGCCCAGCATCCTCTTCTGGGGGGGAGGGGAGGGCCCGGCTGAGGGCAGCAAGGAGGACTCCATGACCCAGCCTTTCCTCCTCGCCCAGGGCCACGCTCCAGGTGTTGCACCAGGCATGCGAGGCGGCTCTTGGCAGTGGCCTTGTGCCTGGTGGCAGTGCCCTTGCCTGGGCTGCCCAGTACCAGGAGAAACTGAACTCGGACCAGAGCTGCCTCAACGAGTGGACGGCCATGGCTGACCTAGAGTCCCTGCGGCCCCCTACGGCTGAGTCTGGCCAGTCAGTGTGGGGCAGGGGTGAGGGTGGGCTGGTGGAGGAGGTATGGGGAAGGGGTGGGCTGGAGGAGGAGGTGGGGGGGCATGATGGAGAGCACGGGCCCCTAACTGAGGGGTTCCACTCCCAGGCCCTCAGAACAGGAGCAGATGGAGCAGGCCATCCGGGCTGAGCTGTGGCAGGTGTTGGACTCCAGTGACCTAGAGACCATCACTTCCAAAGAGGTGGGCAGGGATGGGGGGAGAGGAGGACCCTGGCCAGGGCTATAGGTTTGCCCTTCCTGGAGGCCTTTCTAGCCTGCTTTCCTGCAGTCCTGAGCCATCCTCTAATGCCCCGGTTTCAGTAGTCTAGCTGGGATGGGTACTGGCCCCAGAGGCCCCGGAGGCACTAGGGACGGGAACCTTCCTCCACTTGGGCCCTGCCTGCAGATCCGCCAGGCCCTGGAGCTGCGCCTAGGCTGCCCTCTCCAACAGTACCGCGATTTCATCGACAATCAGATGCTCCTGCTCATGGCCCAGCAGGACCGGGCTTCCAGAATCTTCCCTCACCTTTACCTGGTGAGCGCAGCTGGGGGCGGGACAGTGCAGCTGCTGGAAGGGGCACAGCTGGAGGCCAAGACCTGATTCTTTCCTCACCCCACAGGGCTCTGAGTGGAATGCAGCCAACCTGGAGGAGCTGCAGAGAAACAGGTGGGCTTCCATGCCCCTCATCCAAGCCATCTCATCTTTCCATTCTCTCAGCCTCTCCAAGGAGGACCCTGGCCAGCTTCTGGGGTCTCAGATCACCCTCAGATCACTATTTAGTTCTTGCATCAGTCCTCATGCCAAGACAGGATAGTGTCTTTGTTGTCCCATTGGTTAGCCCCTAGTCCTCTCCCTATGTTTTAAAGCAAGTGCAGAAATAAGGCCTCAACTATGCTGAGATCAGCTAGCACTTGGCCAGCAGCACACACGCCTGCGCACCTGGCCACATTTCAGGAGCATGCCTTCTCCCAGTTGGGATGTGGCTGCCTGCTTGGCACCTTGATCTCTCCACAGGGGCCTCCGGGATCTCTGTGCTGGTCCTTGTTTTTAGGGGGCTGCAGTTTTAGCTCTAAAGCTGTTTGCTCTGTAGCTGAGTTCTCAGAACGGTGGAAGTGTTAAGTGTTGCTGACCTCATATCCTTGGACTCAATGGAGAAACTCACAGAAAAAAAAAAGAAAAAGAAAAAAGATCTGTGAGTCATCTGACAGCGGGCACTTTTCTTTTCTTCCCACAGTCAGTGCTGCCACTGCCTGACTTTCAAAACTAAGAACAATGCTGGGCGCTGGTGGCTCATGCTTGTAACCTTAGCTTCTTAGGAGGCTGAAAATTCTGGTTCAATGCCAGGCCTGGCAGGAAAGTCTGTGAGGTTCTGATCTCCAGTTAACCAACACAAAGCTGGAAGTGGAGCTGTGGTAGAATACCAGTCCAAATTGTTTTTGTCAGTCATGGGGCTTGAACTCTGGGCCTGAGCACTATTCTCAGTTCTTCAGCTCAAGGCTAGCGCTCTTCCATTTGAGCCACAGCGCCACTTCCAGTTTTCTGGTGGTTAACTGGAGATGAGAGTCTCATGGATTTTCCTGCCTAGGCTGGCTTTGAACTGGGATCCTCAGGTCTCAGCCTCCTGAGTAGCTAGGATTACAGGTGTGAGCCACTGGCTCCCAGCTTAGAGGACCAGTCTTAAGCAAAAAAAAGCTAAAAGAACCCTGGCCTTGATTTCAAGCCCCCAGTACCAGCACAAAAACAAAACCTAAGAACCAAACACAAATGCTCAGGGTCTGTTGGGTGCAACACCATGGCTTGTAGGGCCTGGTGTCAGCCTGGCCTCCGGCCCTCTGGTACAGGGTAAGCCACATCCTGAACATGGCCCGGGAGATTGACAACTTCTACCCCGAGCGCTTCACCTACCACAACGTGCGCCTGTGGGATGAGGAATCAGCCCAGCTGCTGCCGCACTGGAAGGAGACGCACAACTTCATTGAGGAGGCGAGGTTGGGTTCCCTGTGCTGCGCTGCCCAGCCCAGAGCTCGCTGGCGGGGCCCCAACTTCAACAGGGCCCTGTTCTCTCCCCTCTCCCCCCTCTGCCTTCAGTTCTCTTCCCTCCTCTCACCCTTGGTATCCCTCCTTCCTTCTCCCTCTGCTGGGTTCTGATCTATTAACCCACCCCTGGCTGTGCTGCTGGGCCCTCTGTGGGGTGCAGGAGCCAGTCTGACCACATACACCCCCCCCCCCACAGAGCGCAGGGCACCCGGGTGCTGGTCCACTGCAAGATGGGTGTCAGTCGCTCGGCCGCCACGGTGGTGGCCTATGCCATGAAGCAGTATGGCTGGGGCCTGGAGAAGGCTCTTCTCCACGTGCAGGGGCTCCGGCCCATCGCCCGGCCCAACCCCGGCTTCCTGCGCCAGCTGCAAACCTACCAGGGCATTCTGACTGCCAGGTAGGGGGTGGGGGACAAGAGGATGGATATGGGTGCTCAGCGTGGCCGCTGTCTCTCAGGGCTCACTCAGTCGCTTCTTCACAGCCGGCAGAGCCATGTCTGGGAGCAGAAAGTGGGTGGGGCCTCCGCAGAGCCGCCCCTGGCCCCCGAAGTCTGCACCCCCTACCCACCTCTCCCACCAGAACCAGGGGGCACCGGGGAGGTGAAGGTTATGGATTTGGAGGAAAGTCCAGTGGGCCCCAAAGAAGAGCCTGGGCTGCGGCCCCGGATCAACCTCCGGGGGGTCATGCGCTCCATCAGCCTCCTGGAGCCCTCGGAGCTGGAGCCAGATAGTGTCCAGGAGGCTGCTGACCTGCCAGAGGTGAGGCTGGCCGGGGAACTCATCGCAGTGGCTGCTCGCCAGGAGGAAGGCCAGGGAAATCTAGCATGGGTGATCGATTTCAGGCTCCAAGCAGGTGCCGCATGGGTCCAGTGCAGGCACCCCCCCCACCCCGGGTCTCCTGGGAATGCCTCACTCCTGAGGTGTCAGCCTTTTTTCTGCCACACTACACAGGCCAGACTGAGGATGGGGACCACAACCTGGGGTGATCCTTTCTGTCCCTCAGAGCAGCTGAGACCACCCCAGTGAGGGCAGAGGGCCCAGGGTCTGGGGAGCCTGGTGATGAGCCAAGGAATAGGAATTGTCCCCACAGCTGCAGGCTGGCTTTGGAGGTGCCTCCAGGCCTGGAGGGGCTGGGTAAGATGGTCTCTGAAGCCCCTTCTGGTCTGAGAAAACACAGCAAAGGACCAAATGGAGAGGGACCCTGGCCCTCACAGACACATACCTCCTGAATGAGTACCCCGGGCCTTAAGTGCTGTGGGGCACAAGGCTAGGGCAGGAAGCTGGGCCTGGCTGGAGGAAGCCAATCCACATGACTCCATGTCAGATGCTGACAAGAGGCTTATGGAGGGACTGTGAAGGTGGCTTAGTGGTAGAGTGCTTGCCTAGCATGCACGAAGCCCTGGGTTCGATTCCTCAGTACGACATACACAGACAAAAGCGGGAAGCGGTGCTGTGGCTCAAGTGGTAGAGCACTTGCCTTGAGCTGAAGAGCTGAGGGACAGCGCCCAGGCCCAGAGTTCAAACCCCATAACCGACAAAAAAAAAAAAAAAAAGGCTTATGGAGGCGGCTCTGGGCACAGACCCCCAGAGAGGCCCAGAGATTTTCAGAGAAGTATGGATGCTGCCAAAGGCACCCACACACACACAGCTACCTAGCTCAGTTCAGGGCCTGGGCTGACTACAATGCTGGAAGGTTGGGAGGAGGAAAGGCAGGTGAGGCCTGCTGGCAGGTGCGGGGGTCAGAAGGCGGCTACAGTGGAGCTCTTGGGAACTGTGGACTGACAACAGCTGATTTTGTGTATTCACTCAACAAACATTCTGCACCTACCCTTTTCCTGACTCCGACTGCCCTGTGGCTTGTGTCCTCACTCGTCCAGGTTTTCTCTTCCCACGAGTCTTCAGATGAAGAGGGAACTCAGCTCTCAAGAGCTAAGGGAGGCCACCGGCTCCGCAAGGGGCCTTGGCCTGCCCTGAAGTCTCGCCAGTCTGTGGTGGCCCTGCAGAGCGCTGCCCTCGTAGCCAGCCGGACCCGGGCCTTCCAGGAGCAGGGAGAGGACAGCATGTGCTCCACGCCCAGACTTTGGAAGGTGGTGAGACAGACCAGCGTGGATGACAGCCAGGAGGAAGGCCAGGCCTGAGCCCTCCCTTTAGTGTACCCCTAGACACTAAATAGACTTGGACAGGCACCCCACATGCCTGGGGACCACATGCTCCTTAGCCCTCTCAGCCCTCCCAAGACCTGTCACCGCAGCCTCAGGACTGAGACCCGCCTCCACTGTCAAGGGCTCAAGACTTTAAGGGGGATGTGGGTAGTGACTGAAGGTGCCTTCTGGGGTGACAATACCCCCATGTTCATTTTCAACTCACCCTAAAATGCTCACCTGCAGCCATGGAATCAAACCCAGAGTTTTCAGGGCAGATTTTCTGTCTCAAGCTCTCCACCATGGTCCACCGTCCCCGGCTCCACCTCTCCTGCCTTCCCCACTGTGCTGCTAGAGGCTCTTGGTCAGGGAACAATGTCCCAAAGGAACCCTAGTCCCCCTGCCCCGGGGACTGGCAGGCCACCTGCCCTGTACACCTCACACCTGGCCTAGAGTCTCCCCCGGTGCCCCCTACATTCCTCCCTCTTCTACCCCCACCCACCCTCCTCTCATGGCCCTCACTGAGTCACAGGGCGCCAGGCCAAAAGAAGTCTTTTGCTCCGCGGCCAGTCACTTTTTCATAGTCTTATAGTATGTGGCTTTGTACTGAGAAATAAAAACATTGTTATTTTCCATTTGATGACAATGCCACCTGTCTTTTGATCAGTTCCGCCTCTGCACGCGGTGCTGAGCCTTGCTAACCTCCCAGCTCAGTCAGCCTCCCAGGGGCCTCATGACAGATCTGGTTGGCAGAGTGCAGTATTTAGGGGTGGGGAGGGAAGAACAGGATGGAAAGGAGGTGGAGTGTGGCTCAAGAAAGAGGGAGAGGGCCTGGGAAGGTGGCTCAGTGGTAGAGTGCTTGCCTTGCATGCCTGAGGCCCTGGGTTCGATTCCTCAGCACCACATAAGCAGAAAAAGCCGCAAGTGGTGCTGTGGATCAAGTGGGAGAGCGCTAGCCTTGAGCTGAAGAGCTGAGGGACAGTGCCCAGGCCCAGAGTTCAGGCCCCATGACCGACAAAAAAATAAATAAAATAAAAAAAAGAGGGAGAACGGGGTATTGGTGGCTCACACCTGTAATCCTAGCTACTCAGGAGACTGAGATCTGAGGATTGAGGTTCAAAGCCAGCCTGGGCAGGAAAGTCCATGAGACACATCTCCAATGAACCACCAGAAAGTGGCCCTGGAAGTGGCCCTGTGGTTCAAGTGGTACTTGAGCTGAAGAGCTGAGGGACAGTGCCCAGGCCCAGAGTTCAAGCCCCACCACCCACCAAAAAAAGAAAGAAAGAAATTAAAAAGAAAGAGGGAGAGCTGGGCTCTGGTGGCATGAACCTGTAATACTAGCTATTCAGAAGGCTGAGATATGTGGTTTGAAGCTCGTGTGGGCAAGAAAGCCTATGAGACTCTGATCTCCAATAAACTACTCAGAAAAACCTGGAAGTAGTGCTCTGGCTCAAGTGGTAGAGCCCTAGCCTTGGGCAAAAGATGCTCAGGGACAGAGTCTAGGCCCAGAGTTCAAGTCCCAGGACTGGCAAAGAGTGGGGGGAGGGGAAGAAAGGGAAAGAAGGAAGAATAAGGAGAGCCAGTGCTATCTCCATTGTCTCTAGGGCAGGGCCTGGGTAAATATTAGCTTTCTATGCACTTTACCAGGTTCCTGGGAAGCACGGTGACAGGCCTTTGGCTCTGTTGGAATGGCTTAAAGGGAGTTACCTACGAGGAAGTAGAAGCTGTTGTGTCCATCTGGATAAGACACAGCCTGCTCCAAAAGCTAAGACGCCTTTGGACAATTGATGCCATTTGTTTGTTTATTTTTGTTTTTTGTCTGTAGTCGGGCTTGAACTCTGGGCCTGAGCACTGTCCCTGAGCTCTTCAGCTCAAGGCCAATGCTCTACCACTTGAGCCACAGTGCCACTTCTGGTTTTCTTTTTTTTTTGGGGGGGGAGGGGGGTCCGGTCATGGGCCTGAACTCTGGGCCTGGGCGCTGTCCCTCAGCTCTCCCACTTGAGCCACAGCGCCACTTGTGGCTTTTTTCTTTTTGCTTATGTGGTGCTGAGGAATTGAACCCAGGGCCTCATGCATGCAAGGCAAACGCTGTACCACTGAGCCACCTTCCCAGCCCCACTTCTGGTTTTCTATGGTTTATTGGAAATAAGAGTCTCACGGACTTTCCTGCTGGGGCTGGCTTTGAGCTGAGATCCTCAGATCTCAGCCTCCTGAGTAGCAAGGATTACAGGCATGAGCCATTGGCACTCAGCCTTTTTTTTCTCTTTTGTAGTACTTGGATTGAACCTGCACACTAGGCACTAAGCAAGTACAATGTTGCTTGAACTGTTACTAGCCCCCCTCCCCTTTTGGTGGCAATATTGACAGGGAGGCACAGAGGTTAATGGATTAGACACATCTGCTTCAGTCACGCCCACAATCCAAAATGGGTTCAGTTTACTGAATAGAGCAGTTTCCCACCTGCACCCCCCATCCCTTTTGGAATTACCAGGGTGCTTGGTACCAAAGTTATCTTGGTTTGGGGTAAGGAGATGACCCCCAACTCCTGCTCTCAAAGCAAGCGTCAGAGGCTGAGCTGGACTGAGGCCTTCCTGGCTGATATCTAGTGTCCAGTTTTGTTTTGTGTGTCGGTTGTGGGGCTTGAACTCTGGGCCTGAGCACTGTCCCTGAGCTCTTCAGCTCAAGGCAAGCACTCTACCACTTGAGCCACAGTGCTACTTCCAGTTTTCTAATGGTTAATTGGAGATAAGATTTTCAGGGACTTTCCTGCCCCGGCTGGCTTTGAACTGCAATCCTCAGATCTCAGCCTCCTGAGTAACTAGGATTACAGGCGTGAGCCACCGGTATCCAGCTGTAGTGTCCAGTTTTACAACTAAATCTCTCAGGCTGGGGGCATGAGGGGAGGGGGAGGGGAGGAAGACTCCAAGTCTTGTTCTATTCCAAAGCATCCAGAGACAGGAGACCTGGATTCTAATCCTGGATCACCACTTCCAAGTTACTATACCTTCAGTATGTTTGTTTTTGTATGACCCTCTCCACACTTTTTTTTTTTGAGTCCGGTCGTGGGGCCTGAACTCTGGGCCTGGGCGCTGTCCCTCAGCTCTTCAGCTCAAGGCTAGCGCTCTACCACATGAGCCACAGCGCCACTTCCGGCTTTTTTCTTTTTGCTTATGTGGTGCTGAGGAATCGAACCCAGGGCCTCAGGCATGCAAGGCAAGTGCTCTACCACTGAGCCACCTTCCCAGCCCCTCTCCACACTTTTTAAAACAATATTTGTCACTTATCCATTGCCTCCAAGCATTCTTCAGAAGAGGAATCAGCACCCTCCCTAAGGTCACAAGGAAGGGTACTAGGAAGCTGGTTCCCTGCTGAGCAAACATCAGGCCTGTCTGTCCTCCTGCAGCCAATCAGGAGTCCCCCAGGGCTGCCCTTTGAGTCCTCTGAGTCAGAGACTGCAGGCAGGTGCAGCAATGGAGTCAGGAAGGATACACAGGTCAGCAATGCCTTCTGCAGTCTGTGCAGTTCAGAAGTCAGGGACAAGGTGAGGATGGCGGCTTAAGCCTGTAATCCTAGCTACCTGGGAGGTGAAGATCAGAGGATTGCAGTTAGAGGTCTGCCTGGGCATAAAAGTTCATGAGAGGGGCTGGGATGGTGGCTCAGTGATAGAGCACTTGCCTTGCATGCCTGAGGCCCTGGGTTTGATTCCTCAGCACCACATAACCAAAAAGAAAAAAGCCGGAAGTGGCGCTGTGGCTCAAGTGGTAGAGTGCTAGCCTTGAGCTGAAGAGCTGAGGGACAGCACCCAGGCCCAGAGTTCAGGCCCCATGAACGGACCTAAAAAAGAAAAAAAGGAAAAAAAAAAAAAAGTTCTTGAGATTCCATTTCAAGCAATGGCTGGGCACAGCTGCAAGGGGAAGTAAAATGACTTGAGTACAGTCATCCCCAGAAACATGGAAAGCACAAGTAGGAGGATCACAGTTTAGGCCAGCCCTGGGCATAAAGCAAATAATAACTAAGCAAAAAAGCAAAGCAAAAAAGCTGGCCAGCCCACACATCATCATCTTGAAAAGGCAGATAGGTCTTTGAATTGCCATTATTTCCAGCAATGAGGAAACTGAGGTTCAAAAAAACAACTACTGTCACGTACTCAAATCCTACCTTTCTAGAGTCCCAATCCAGGAGTCTTACTCAGAGAGGGTGGTTGGATCCTCAGCAGTCTCCCACTGCTTTCACGGTGCTGCTCAGGGAGGGCCTTGTGACCCCCCTCTCCCTGATACAATGACCCAACCCCAGAGTCCCCATTCAACTCCCACTTGATCCCTGAGCCTTAATTTAGCCATTACATTTTAGTGGGAGAAATCGTCCAGCCAACAGGTGTCCACCTTGCGCTCCATCACAGCCTGGTCCTCCCAGTCTGGGTGGGCCTGAGCTAGGAGAAACTCTTTTTTTTTTTTTGGTCGGTCGTGGGGCTTGAACTCTGGGCCTGGGCGCTGTCCCTCAGCTCTTCAGCTCAAGGCGAACGCTCTACCACTTGAGCTACAGCGCCACTTCTGGTTTTCTGGTGGTTTATTGGAGATAGGAGTCTCACGGTCTCTCCTGCCCGGGCTGGCTTTGAACCGCGATCCTCAGATCTCAGCCTCCTGAGTAGCTAGGATTACAGGCGTGAGCCACCAGCGCCCGGCTTAGGAGAAACTCTTGTTAGGCCATTTTTCAAACAGCAAAATGGCCAGGCGTCAGTGGCTCACGCCTGTTACTGATAGCTATTCAAGAGGCTGAGATCGAGGCCTGGCAGGAATTATCTTATCTCCAATTAATCACCAAAAAGCTGGAAGTGGATCTGTGGTTCAACGTGCGGGCTTTGAGTTCAAGTCTCAGGGCCGACACACACAGACAGACACGATCTGCAACTATTCTGGAAAAGTCTATGTCTCTTCTCCTTTTTACCTTGCACTCAAGACACAAGGCTGCTTAGAAAGAAAACACCTTTCAGGCAGGCCCTTCTCTCCTGTCCTTCCTCCACTCAGGGGCCACGAAACCCGGGGAGTGAAAGCAAACCACGACACGCGGGCGCCATCTTGCATCCGTTTCTCGGGCCTCACACCGGCCACTTAGAAACTACGTCTCCCAGCGTGCTTAGCGCTCCCGCACAGGCGCAGAAACAGCTCCTCGAGTTTCCATGGGAACCTCGCCCCCCAGAGTCCCGGGCCGTTAGATTTAGTAAAGGGTTTAAGCGGTCGCTCTCCTGAGGTGCGCTGGAACTAGGACTGAGTCTACTGGCCGCTGAGGGGACAGGGTGGGGACAATGAGGAGCCGAAGCCAGGCCGGCCTGCTTTGCGGGGCCAGAGTTCGCAAATTCTCCTGGGCGTCCCGGCGTCCGCGCGCTCCGGGACCCCGGCGAGGCCGGCGCTCGGCTTTGGCCTGCGCGGCGCCACCCGCCGGGCGCCCGCCGCTGGTCGCCCCCCAGCCGAGGGCCCGAGCGCGGCTGACAGGTACGGGGACGCCGGCCAGAGGGGAGGGTTGGCGCGGCCCTGGGCACGGGGTGGCGTCGGCTGACCCCGAGGTTCTCTTCTGTGTAGAATAAGGGGTGTGTTCAAGAATTAATAATAATAATAATAATGTGTACGCTTCTATAATA